AAAGGTAGAAAAAAAGGTGAGGTGAGTACTGTGAAAGTATTCGAATATGGCATAGAGTGAGGTGAAGGCAGTTTGAAGTGGGAAATCAACTGCCAGTTAATAAATTTTTCGGCGTATGAATATACGTTGCCCAGGCTGTAGCGGATTGCTACGCTAGTAAAGCCTGACCGACTCAGAAATCTCTATGGCAGATTCTCCAACATCTAGCTAGACTCCCAGAACCAGCTAACCTATAGCCCAGCTATGGGGGAAATATACGTGTAGCAAGGAATACGTTTATTCGATACGTATATTGATAGCAAAGTGTTGAGTTTGGCAAAGCGATTAGTTATCAACTAACTCTAGGATAATTCGTGAGAACATTAATAGCTAAAATATTTCTGAGAAGGGATCTATAACAGGATTTCTATTTGGTCATTGATGATGTGTCCCACAAGGCTACACCACGTGGAGGTAAGTCTATCGCACACCCCATGAAGTTCGATCTAATGAATAAGATATTCCCATTTAAAATTATTTGGAACTAGTATGAATAGTCACTAATATAGACCTAATCCTAAAGCTCCATTGATGATTTGACCGAGTTCGTTGAATGGGAAAGAATTGGGGAGGGCAATGGGAAATTAGAAGCGAAGATTAACTGAAACTGTACAAGTGGAAATCAAGCTATAATAAAAGAGATAAATGTGTGTGAAGTTGCGAACTTTACCGAATTCGCAGTTATTGTTCGTAGATGAGTGATAAATCCGACCGTCTGACAATCAAGACTGCACAATAAACCCCATCGATAATTAGACTCTTAACTGGCCAAACTAAGTTTAGTGAGTAGATAAGCCAAGCATAAACTTAACAGATACTGCGGATATTCCATTGTACATCACTCTACAACCCTCCTGGATATGTATCCTCCAATTCAATCGATATTTATGGAACTCAATCACATTCGGCTTTAAATATAACAGAAAGAATCACATGTAAGTGGAAGAATTACCATTATTTAATATCTGTAGAAAAAATTGTATTATAAGGAGATAAAGAATCCGTAAATCATAGTTTATGTGGGGCAATGACGCAAAACTAATAAAATGAGGCGGCACCAACCGTCAATCTTTGCAAATGGTGCAATTTGGGAGGCACACAATCTTTTGATATGAAAAGATCAAATCTGGCATGAGCAATATTTGATAAAGAGAAAACACATGCGTGTAAATAACGTTGCCATGAGAACCACGACCACTTTAATTCCAGCCAAACCATACCTAAATCTCTTAGACCGAGGGAGGGGAGGGGGGGGGGGGAACGAAGGCAGTTCTGAGACGAGGTTCTGAAAAAGCTCTATCTTATTCGGCTGCAATAAATGACAGGCCGCCATTCAACTCACCTGATTGAAAGGAATAAGTAATTCCTAAAACCTAAAAAATACTCGCATGATAGTGAAGGAATATATAATTTGCATAAAATATGACCTAATCAAAAAAATAGTATTTCAGTACTCAACTTGAGAAGTATCATGAAGCATTACAGACAAGAAATTCAATTTCAGCCATCCTTTCTTATTGGACGGAATTAATTAGAGAACTAAATTGAATTCTTAGCTTTAGGCCTCACACAAGAGTGACCAACACTAAACATTTCAGGCCCGACAACAATGTCTGCCGTATTTCAAATCTGGTGATCGGACAAAATTACTGCTGACAACTTTCTACATAGTCTCCCTTCAACTTAAACGTTCTTACCATTTGAAAATTGACGGTTGAGACTGAGTTGCAAATAGTTCAAGTTAAATACCATTGGACGATAAAGAAACAAAAACACAAATGGGCAATATGAAAGTATTTATTCAAAAAAAACATATAAAGAAAATAAATGCAGGGTCAACGCGACTAAAATGGCAAAAAAGAAACATATGGCAGCTGAATTATAAAGACCAGATTTTAAGGGGACAACATACCGAGAGAGAACTGATCCTAACTTCGTATAAATTTTTGAATGCCTAGCAATAAGGAAGTACATTTAAAAAGAGCACAAAAAACTTACAATACGACTTGGACACTTTCCGTGTTCTTTTATTACTCTTTCAATGGTTTCAGAATTGTATTCATCTAGAGAAATTACATAATAATAATACCTACTTGTACAATTTAAGTACCGTTTATTTTACAAAACTCACTTGAGGTGGCTGGAAGTAAGTTCATAGTTAGCCGGCGCCAAAGTGCTTCAGAGGTGTTTATAAATTTATTCATCCGACGACATGTGGCAGCTAAACGACCTAGATCACTTAAATCGAGGATTTCACAAATCCTTAACTTGGGAAGGAAAGAAACATCATCGTTATCCATTGCATGAGACTAGTGTAGTTCAAATCGCTTACCAACTCTGATTCTCGAAGACTAAGAAAACCAAATCGAAGGGGGAGTGAAAGAGCTAAAAAAATTTACTCAATTTAGGCGCACTAGAAACGTACCTTGATGGATATCAACAAGGATGGGTTCGATCAACTTATCAGAGAGCATAACTATCAGACCTTGTGGATTTGGAAAGATTACATTAACGTCTTCTCGTGAATCTGAGGTAAAGGCATTACGCAACGAAAAATTGGAAATAATACCCTCATCGATGATTTGTGGATTAACAAGGAATTTGTTGAATTTAATCGCTAATTGCATCTGAACGGAAAGGTTTGGGACACTAGCTGTGGGGCTTATTTCGCAAGGAACGACCTACCCGTAAAACTCAAATATTCTCCGCATGTAAAGATTGCAAAATTTACAGCATTTAAGAATTGATTGTCGCCGTATACGTATACATACTTAACACGCATTATATTTTCCGTATTTTCAACGATAATTGGGTCCTTCAAGCCTTTATTTCGAGCACAAACGTCAAGCGGAAATAAGGCCACTCCGAAACTCAAACTCGAGATTGAAATACTAAAATTCCTAAGAGAATCAAAAATACATTTCCATGCCTAAAAATAAATTAGGGTAATTTAATTACCTCGATTGATCGAAATAACGTGCTACCTTCCTCGGTAACGTCAGATATAACATAGATTAAGTCACCACGCGCAACTCCAATGTCTTCTAAACTTATTTCCCCATCGCACAAGTAATAAAACTCCCTTGAGTTTAAGCTAACGCCCAATCGATCACTAGAAAACGTAAAATGCGTTCAACCATATCGTAAGCCGATTATTTAGATAACGAAAAAAAGAAATTTGTTTACGCTTTAAAAGAAAACGAAAGACATATCGACTCTATTAAGTCTTTAATGTTGGAATTCCTGGGAACATCAATTTCACCGAAGTAATTCCTGTACTTTAAGTGTAGCTTCATATTACGAAACCGAGATGTATCAGGAATTCCAGCTTGAGAACCATGGAAAAAAGTGGGCTGAATTGTTCAAGTACTCTAACCAATAGAGATCTCCTATATAATACAATGGAAATTAGACGTTTCTTGGCTTTATTAGGCTTTTAGAAATAGTCTAATACATTTAAATCCTAAATTAGAAACAGATTTTGTTTCAGTGAGAAATATTTAATTTCACCCTCATCTTAGATAGATAAAATAACAGTTGAAATTGCCCATGTACCATGTTAAACCGTTTTGACGTATTTTTAGTAAGATATGAAAAATTCAAATAAGCGACAGTTTTCTCGTCCAATTCTTGAATATCTGTTTTAAAATAGGTCGGTAAATTTATAAAAAAATAATTAAAAAGGAGAAAATAAAATGTCACAGTGTTGTGACGGCATCGAGTGGACCGGTGCCTAATCTTTGATTTGACACATGTATTGCTTTAGTCAACAAAGATATCATTCATGATAATGAGGTTTTTAAGGTTTCCGGAAATGAGTTCACAAATTTTAACATTAGAACACATCTGGATTTCTCTTGTCTTGACTGATATCTTCAAATCTATAACCATTTATCATCACCTGGGCTTGGAGACTATATAATAACAGATACATAAGTTCCAATTTAATCATCATTCATTTGCTTTATTCAATCTTTTTAGAGACATGTGGTCGAAAATATATGTAAATATGAATAGTCATCCTTTTGAATTCTGATCAAGGTAAAATATTCATTATTTTAGAAAGGTAACTAGAAATGTTCCTATAGTTTTTTGTTGTTTATTACTATTTTAATTTTAATTTATATAAAATGATAGATAAGTATAATCATCTTATTAAAATTCTACTCTTTTTGATTGCATACAAGATATGTTTCCATGTACCTAAATAAAAATTTTCTAGTTTGCAACAAAAAATAAAAAATTAAATTTTAAACAAAGATCGACTCCATCGTTCACAGAATTTTGCGTAAAAAGTAAACTTGGACTTGTACACCCATGAACAACCTTTCTTAGAGCTACTGACATAAGAGGGGATGATGACTTATGCTTGAATATAAAAAATCCTCGTCCCTTTAAACGGGTTCGTTTGAAAATAATTTCTGTTTTCATGAAAAAATAAATTATTAATAGATACAGACAAATTACAAAGTCGATTTTAGAAATGTCAGTGTAATTTTTCATCCTCGAGCTTGTGGGACACTCCATCAATGACCAAATAGAAATCCTGCTATAGAATATTACTCAGAAATATTTAGCTATTAATGTTCACGCGAATTATGCTAGAGTTATCTGATAACTAATCGTTTTGCCAACATTACACTTCGCCATCAATATACGTACCGAATAAACGTATTCCGTGCTACACGTCTGCTTCCCTTATAGCTGGGCTATAGCTTAGCTTGTTCTGGGAGTCTAGTTAGATGTTGGAGAATCTGCCATAGAGATTTCTGAATTGGTCAGGCTTTACTAAGGTAGCAATCCACTACAAGCTGACCAGATGCAGATGTTATCATTTTATCACCGTTCCGCGCTTTTGTGCTCCATCAAGATTGCAGAAAACTTAATTCGGACCATTTCGACTGTACTTTCACAATTAGCATGCATTCAAAGGGTGATTAGTGAATGAAACACAGATGCATGACAATTAGTAAAGCGAATATCATGATAATGAAATTTGCACTTACTTTCTTTTATACTCTTAGTACTTGTTTCACAATTTCAAGTTTTTGAATAATTATCAAGCATTTCTGCAGTGATTTTGTAGTCTATATTAAATAACCTATTACAATTATTTGCTATTTAAATGAAAGTCATCGTTACAGCAAGTTGACCACTTCCTTTATTATAGTTTATACCCACGGTAACACAAAATGTTTACGATTAAATGAAACAAATGAAATCGATTTAAGGTCATCCCGGCGTTTTGTGGAGTCCACAACGTTTTCACCTCCAAAAGATAATCTCTGCCCGTACAACTTCGCGCAGGGAGTAAATGTGTTTGAGAGCGCGGAGAACACAAGCAACCGCCAATCAATAATCCTCGCTTGGTTTATCAAATCCTCCACATTAAGATAATGGGGGGGGGTGTGCAATAGACTTACCTCTACGTGGTGCACCATGGAAAACGTATACTCACAGGACAAAAAAGTCTATAAGTCTACAATTGACTTCAAGCTATTATGATCAGCCTGAAACTAAACTATAAGGGATCCATCAGTGGAATGCTGGAGGGATATCACACAACAAGAGGAACCAAATCCAGAAAACCCTGCATATCAATAATATGGGCAAATTCACAATCATGGAAACCAACCTTATGGATGGCAAACTCAAATATTACCCATTCCTAGGTTGCACTTAATATCTCCTACCTAAAGTCCGGCAAGTAGCAAGTGGAATTTTGACTGGAGTAAAAGAAGGCCTCACATCGCATTGCGAACTAATCAAAAGTATGGGTTTGACCCAAGATATATGCGAAATAATCAGATAAAATATTCGGAAATGTCAAAACCATACGCAATCTATAATCCACCCCAGAATAGTTCCAACTTTGATCTTCTGAATATCTCACACAAAACTGTTGTATTAGGAGACCTCTACGTCCATTCCACCAGATGGGGATTTAAGAACATAAACACAGCTGGAAGGGAAATCGAAGACATGCTTAATTATAGCCCTCTAGAACTTATTTATAGCTATGTGGATCATGCTATATACCTGCACTACAATGAATCCAAAACAACCTCTCACTTGTTCCTGGCTTCAAGCAACATTGGCGAGCATACACACCGCAAAATAATTGACGATTCTGGTTCTGGTCACAAACCAGGCAAAATAATTGACGATCCTGGTTCTGGTCACAAACCAGTCCGTGAAATAATTGACGATCCTGGTTCTGGTCACAAACCAGTCACCGCAAAATAATTGACGATTCTGGTTCTGGTCACAAACCAGTCATTGCTAGTATTACGATAGGCAACAAACGCGTGACACCGAAAATACCAACCAAGCTAACATGGAACTTCAAGAAGGCCTACTGGCCTAGATTCACAAACCTTTTAGAGAATAAACTTCGCACAAGTCCCCTCAAATTCAACTAACATCCTGACAAACTTTGCAACGAAATCGCGAATATTATGGTCAGATGTGCAAAGAAAACTATTCCCAGAGGCAAGACTAAGCAAATATTATGGTCAGATGTGCAAAGAAAACTATTCCCAGAGGCAAGACTAAACACTGTCGAGTTTTTGGTCTGAACACCTTGAGGGAATTTAAAGAAAGCGGTACGTCCTTCGCAATACGGCTGAACATACTGGAAGAACGGAAGACATACAAGCCTGGAGACGGCAGTCAGCTGTCCTAAGGCAAGCTATCTTACAAGCTAACCAGACTTCCTTTGACAACTTCATCTCAAATAACAACAATTAAAATGATAGCCAACGCATTTTCAAATTCTTGGGTACCTCCAAAACAACAAGATAAGACCCAAGAAAGAACCAATACGATTAAAAAACAAACTACTTACCACCGACTCCGAAATAGCTAACTGCTTTGCGAGGTTCTATTCCCACAGGCAAAAGAAAAACCCTTTTATCAGAAAATCTTCAAGAGTTTGAAAGATACAAGTAAGACAGTTTGGTGAAATTAAGGAAGACATAACAACACCAAATAATGTACTTACTGAACCATTCAGACCTTGCGAACTTAATGCTGCGATAAAACAGCTCAAGTGCAATAAGTCTCCTGGCGAAGACGGTATTCATCCGGAATTTCTAATTAAACTGGAGCCAAAATCCAAGGGAACCATGCTGACGCTTTTAAACAAAATCTGGGAGACCAGTCTCGTACCTAACCAATGGAAAGTTGCCATAGTAACACCAGTACTAAAAAAGGGCAAAGACCCTAGCAACTTTGACAACTATAGGCATGGTGGCTAAACTTGTGGAAAGAATGGTTAACAGGAGACTGGCCTGGTTTCTTGAATCCATCAACTGTCTTAGAAACAAACAAACAGGCTTTAAGGCCACAAAGATCAACAAACCAACAAGTAGCCACTCTCTCCCAACATATCAATGATGTCCTTGATGCAAGAAATACTCTTCCGGCCATATTCATCGATTTCAAATCAGCACATGATCTAGTATGGAAAGAGAACCTAATTCTAGAATTGGCGAAGATTGGAATAAAACATAACACGCCAATTGGATGAAAGCATTCATTGGACAAAGATCAGGTAAAGTCAGATATGGAGACGATCTGTCTAAATGTAATCTTCTACAAACAGGCCTACCGCAGGGAGCTGTCACAACCTTCACTCTTTTCCACGTTTTCATCAATGACATAGCTAAACTGGTTCAAGCAGACACGGGCATCAAATGCTTACTTTATGCAAATGGTCTTGTTCTATGGTATTCCGCCCTAAGAAAAACGCTCAGGAGAGGACGGAAAGTGCCCTAAATTATGCACTTAAACTATTAGCAAACTGGTGCGACAACAACAGAATGGTTATCAACACCGCGAAAACCGCTTCCCAAACATTTTCATAG